CTTCCCTCACTTCCCAATAAATGAAATGCACTTGCTTGATATAAGGCACTTTTATTTACATGGGGAATGGGGTGCACTGTGGGGGGCCCCTGAACTGGGAGGGCCTCATGGGTGTGAAGGGAGGCCTCTCCCACCCCCAAAGATGCAGGGGCAGGCTGCACTAGGAGGTGCTGAGGGGATGGGGACCTCAGGAGGGGACAGGGGGAGAAGCAGGGGGAGAGCTAGGATGGCAGAGGAGGGCCTGGCAGCATGGGGCTGCTGCGCAGGGCCCATTCAGTCTGAAATCGTGCCCAGGATACTGCACACATGGTCACAGCATTCCAGGAACTGGCCCCACACCAGCTCCCGCCACTCCGTGGATCTGAGTATGAGTGCATGGTGCGTGCTCTATTGTGCAGAGGTGGCAGTGGAGCAGGTGGTGGTGGTCCTGGGAGTGCTGCGATAGGCCCTGGATCCTTGGCGCTGGTGGGATGGGGCTGGAAGGTCCCTTGCTGGCAGGGGTCCCACTTCAGGAGAAGCAGAGGAGAGCAACAAGGTCAGTAAGCCCTGCCCCGGAGTGTTCCGGCACTCCGTGCCCTCCTCCCAGCATGTCATGATTCCTAGGGACAGGTGTGGCTGGTGAGGGGAATTCCCCTGAGGCAGCTGGAGGAGGGGTCCCCAAGGTGGCCCAGGAGCCCCCGGGGGGCCGCATGTGCTTGGGGGATACTGTTGTGCCTTCCCCAGGGGAGGCTACAGTGTCCCAGAGGTGGCCATGGATGTGTGCTGCATGCAGCACCCTTTAGGCTGTTTGGACTCAGGCCTGCAAACTGGAAGAAGCCCCAGGCAGAAGCTGCTACGGGATCACCCCAAACCTGGTAGGATTTGCAGGTGAAGCAGCCACAAGCTCAGGTGCCCTGGGTCTGAAGCCCAGAATCTGGTCTGCCCCAAGTGCTGGCTTGAATGGCTGGGGGGCTGCGAACAGAAGCCCTGAGCCCAGACGGGAACAGACTAGGTAGGAGACAGGGCATGGGAGCCTTGAGCTCATGCTATCCTGGCTGCAGCTGGCAGGAGCACAACCACCATTGGAGGAGCTGCTGGAGGAGGAAGGCTTGAATTGGTGCTGGGAGTAGAAGCCTGAGCCAGTGCTGTCCTGACTGGACCAGAAGAGGAAGCCCCTGGCCTGGGCTGTCCAGTCTCAAGTGCTGGCTGCAGGATAGAATGGAAGCCCCCAGGCATCCAGAGTCACAGCTGGGGTTGGAGGTTGGGGGGGGGAAGGGGCAGAAGACCAAGCTGTACCTAGTGGTCAGAAAAGCTCCCAACCCAGCAAGAGCTGCTCTGGGAGGAAGCCTTAGTTCAATGCATGGTACCATGGGGAGGTGGGTGGAGGCAGAATACAGAAGCCTGGTTTCTGGGCTGCTGCAGCACAGAAGTGAGGCTAAGACACTCATTTCTGTGCTGCCTCTGGAGATGGGTCTGATCTCCCCACCACAAGTGGCCCTTCAGGAAAAGGACAATTCCTGTCCCTCCCAAACTTAGTGAGATTTGAAGCTAGGAGGCCCTGGCTCCCAGTAGCATGGTGATCAACTTTCACTGGGGGAAGGGCTGATTTCACCATCTGGTACATGTTTTTCATGGCCATGAAATTGGTAGGACCCTACAAATGAACAATGAAAAAAAAATTCATGACACTGCCTTCTAAGGCAAATATGCCATTTACTAAAATACATTTAAATTACACACTAGAATAGCTTCCATTTCAGAGCTTAACCTACTGAGTACATTATATTTAGGAAGCTACTTGAACTAAACATGCAATGATTGCCATTGAAAAGTTAACAACTGCCAACAGTTACCGCAAGAAGTATCTTGGATTACCACGATTTCCTCCTAAAATTAGGTTAGGCTATATATCTGTGGTAAAGATGAGAATTCTCTTAATGGCTTCCACAGTAATTGGCTGCTCAAACTGAACATTAAAACAAAAAGGAACTACACTTAAAAACCCAATTGGACTAATAATTATCATCGTAAAAACCAAATCAATGTATTTAGCTAGCAGGTCACTAGCTTATGGACCAAAATGAAGCAAAACCAAGAGGCTGGATGTGGACAAATGTGTGAGATAAATTTAGCAACTTTGCATAACCTGAGTGTTATGGAACTGGGGGGGGCGACAAGGTCTCAACAATATACAGCCTGGGAGCCAGATCTGGCCTGCCAAACCATGGGATTCTGCACACATTTGCCACAGTTTAAAGCACAGTCCATGCGGCTTTCTGCTCTGCAGGGGGAAGAGGCTTTGTGTGATCTTCCCGTCCCAGCCCAATTCTTGGCTCCTATTAGCTGGAAACAGCCAGCCAATAGGAGCTGAGAGATTGGCCTGCAGGATGGGGGCAATGCAAGCCTCTTCCCCCTCCCAGAGCTGAGAGCTACATGGAGGGAACAGCCTGCAGTTTCAAGCAGTCTGAGGCTGCAGCAGGCAGGGAGTCCAGCCTGTTTTGGAGGTGCTGCAGGGCTGGTGGCCAGGAGACACTTAGGTAAGTGCCTCCCAGACACAGCCTGCCTCTGGCACCCCTTCTGCACCCCAACTCCCTCCCCCAGGTTACCATCCAAACCCTCTGTACCCCCCCACCTCCGGTCACACTCCCTCCCAGACTCTGTAGCCCCACGTACATCCCTCCCTCAGGCCAGAATCCTCTCCTTCACCCAAACACCCTCCCAGACCCTGCATTCCATTCCCCTGCCCCAGCTAATCACTCAAACCCTCTGCAGTTTGCACCCCCCATCCCCAGGTCACGATTCCCTATCCAAAGTTTGCACCTCCTCCTAAAGCCCCTCCCCCAGGCCAGAATCCTGATTTACACCCATACTCCCTCCCTTAGCTTACACCCCAGGCTCCTGACCCAGGTCACAACCCCCTCCTTCACCCAAACTCCCTTTCAGACCTTACATTGTCTCCTGTACCCCAGTCCCTTTCCCCGACTGCCCTTCTGCAGCCAACCCTCCATCTTAGACCCTCACATCTCCTCTACAGAAAAGTGCGGCCATTGCCCACTTACCAAAATCTTGGCGTGGCCCCCCACCAAAAATTGCCCACCCCGGTCTAAACCCATTGTAAGACTAAATCTCATTAGTTTTTATGGAAGAAACTTTCCCATGGAAGGAAATTTGTATGGCCATGGGAGATGCAAGATTATGGCAAATAGATCCATAAATAGAACTGTCCATTGATCAAATCCTTCCAGTAATGGGGAATCAAATCATCTACATCTCCATGGCCACTGTGTTTGGGGGTGTGGGAGTGGAGGAAGTTAGAAGGGATTTTGGGCTCCCCTTTCTAATTCCGTTTGTGTCTTTAGAAGTTGAGTATATCACCAGTAAAAATTCTCTGCTTTAGTCTAAATTTTTTTGTTGTATTCAAATGAGCAAATAAAAACAGAGAGCGCATGAGAACAGATCTGAGATGATTTCTGCAGGGGCGGACTGGCCCTATGGGATACCGGGAATTTCCTGGTGGGCCGTCGTCTGAATTGACCATAATACCAACCGTAAAGCTTCTAATATTGTGGTCACCAACCCATTGATTACAATCGCAGGCTCAACCAGTTGATCAGGTGTTCGGGGGGGGCCCCCTCCAATTTCCCCCCAACCCCAAAAAGCCCCACTACCTACCGCCAGCAACAATGGAGGTAGTGGTGATTTCCTGCAGGGCGGACGGAAGACTGGCAGCTGCATGCCACTTCTGGGGTTTCTCAAAGTTAGCTACCTGCTCCCCTCCTCCAAGTCTGTGGCGTGCCAGGGACTTGCTGCACGGGGGGCCATGGAGGAGGTGTGTGCCAGGGCTTCCCTCCTCTGCAGGGGGAGGGGAGAGGAATCCCGAGGGGGAGGCAGGTGGTGTGAGGGGGAGGCCGGGGTTTCCCTCCTGCAGGGGGGAAGAGTCCCAGGAGGAGGCATGCATTCCGGGGCTTCCCTATTCGGGGGGTAGGGGGGTGGGAGAGGGTTGGAGTTCCTGAGGCAGCGCGTGCCGGGGCTTCCTTCTGTGTGTGCAGGGAGGGGGTAGGAGTCCAGGGAGGAGGCATGTGCCCCCACTGGCATCCTGTCCCCTGCGGCAGAACCCACTAGCACACTTCCCCAATACCATGTCCCCTGCTCCCACTAGCACAGTTGGGGCCACATTAGTGCAGCTTGGGGGTTTTTTGGAGGAAGTTGTGGGGCCCCCCAACTGAGTTTTCTGAGAGTCAGTGACCCCTGATTCAAAACAGGCTCCCTACCCTTCTCATAAAGACAATGCAGAAACTTTGTGTTTGATATAGTATTTTATTTAAAAATGAAGCCTGGCCAACAAACCCCCAATTGGGGCCAAGCCCCTATCTGGCTGCAGCAGCATAACACTGCTCTACACACCCCCTCCCAGCTCTGAGCCGATCATACACTAGAACCCTCTGCCCTGAGCCTCTGGCATACTCCAACCCAAAGTCCTGCACCCTCATGTCCACAAGACTGTGGCTTACTTAGTACCACAACCCTCCATCTGAACCCAACACTACCCAGCCTGGAGCCCTGAGCCAGCATTCCCTTCACCTCCTCCTGCATCCAAGTTTCCTCCCAAAGCTTGCACCTCTCACCCATCCCCGCCCCAGAGCCCACATATCCTGTAAAGCCAGTGAGGGTACAGCTAGACTGCAGGAGTTTTTCCTAGGATTCCAGAGCTATCCCGGAACGACTCATGTCCATGGAGGCATTTGTTCTTCCACTTTTTTTAGTGGACAAGCCCTGTACTCCTCGTTCCATGAGGAATAAGGGGGCTTCTGAAAGAAAGGTTTTTTCTGACATTTGGTCCCGTGCAGACAGGCCAAATGTTGGAAAAACCTCTTCCTACAGAAGAATAGGAAAAAAAAGTGGTAGTATAGAGCGTGTAAGGGCTGGGGATAGCAAGTGATGGAGAATAGAGAGGGCGGGATGTCAAGGAAGGGGTGGGGTCTTGGGGAAAGGATGGGGTGGTAGATCATGGCTTGTTCTGACATTTAAAAAAGTGATGTAAAAAGGTTGGAGACCACTTGAATATCAAAAAACCTACAATACTAAAATTCAAAATGTTTCCGAATAAATCCGAGGCAGCCAAGGCCATGTGTGTTTGTAGGGTCAGGTGTGGTCCGCTGCCCTGGCTCAGCCTTGGTTTCTTTGGTGCCAAAGTGAATGACGTTGCATTGCAGTTGAAATCAATTGAACGGACGTACAAGGCGCAATGGTGCATGACAGCAATGCGTAGGTCTGCTTTGTGCAGCGGCAATGAGTGGTTTGAGTCTGACTGGTGACTAGAGTACACAGTGGTTGGATGAGTTCTGTTATCGTCTGTCATTGTGGGTGTGTGATTTTCCGTAACTGACAGTGTGAGTACGGTGTAAACTAACAAAGATAGTGTTCATGAAAAAGTCAGCTGCTCTCAACCCATTGCCTAGGCCTATTTTGATTGCCAGGCTGCCCCTGGATTCCTGTTCCAGCAAGAAGCTAGAGGTACCAGAGCTACCATGAAAACCACCTGTTCAAAGGCACCTACAAATGAAAAATAGGGGAAGTTTAATAAAATTCAAATAGTGAGTAAAGATTCAGATAAACTTGTTGGGATAAAATGATGATTAACAGCTCTTCTTAGCTATAGAAGTAAACTAGTAGATACATCTCATTATATAGCTGTTGCAAGTTCTGTTGCTGACCTTAAACTGTGCATGATGACGACATGTACCCCTGAGGTGAAGGCTTGACGCCATTGAAACTGGAATTTCTCCAGACCATTCAGCTGGGTTGGCCTCACTCTGCTGGAGGCACAGGCAGCGCATCCAGGCCCTGTTATCACCCAACATGACAGCAGATGGTGCCATCATCCAACCGAGTCATCTGAATGCTGTACTTAAGCCATTCATGGACCAAGAGCGGAGACACCAGCCAGTGTCCCAGCTCTCATTCCTCCAGGTGCATAAACTCAGAATTATCCCATCTTGCACTGCACCAGGTTCTTAACGGTGCCAGCTAATTAGTTAGAACACTCCCCTCCTTTATGTGGGTAAGCGATGTATCAGCTTTTGTTAACAGAGCTAAGATTCCCTAACACTTCACTCTAGAACATACTGGTTAAGAGAAAACCTATAAAAACAGATTAACTACAGGAAGATAGATTGTGAGGTTCTATTTCCTAAGTAACCTGCTTTGATCTGTTTGTTATCACTTAAAATCTAAGATTTATACAAACTAGATAGGATTTGAATCAGCAATCTCTCTTACTAATACAAGCAGGCTTATAGATCCTTGAGGCACACAGGCAGCATCTAATTTGCAGCCTGGGTTTCCCCCCCACCACTCAAAGTCATGATGTCACTCCCCATCTTTTACTGTTTCTTCTAGCCTGCTGGGAAAAAATCTATGTACCTGACCCCCATTGGCCAAATGTTTTCCATTGTCTCAGTGCTTCCTCTGAGGTGGCTTCTTTATACAGAATTCCTGTGTTAGTGAATTCTTCCCTGAATTGATGAGAGCCACACACCTTCCAGCTATTCCATTGTTGTATCTGAAAGACTTGTTTGGGGTATTTCCAGTCTCACATTATATTTTAGGAACTCATACATAGCAAGATTTCATAACTTTACATACACATACAATCCACCAAGATATTAATGTTTAACAGATCAAGGCTAGGTCTGTACTGTGCTCATGTTGTGCAAGAAATATGCAAATGAGGCTAATTATGGAATATTGATGAGCCTCATTTACATAATTAATGAGCACCTGCTTTGTGCAAGAGGTTTTTTATGCAAAAGGAGCTGTCTGCACAGCTGTGTGTAAAAAACCCCTCTTGCGCAAGAGCTGTTTTTCTGAGACTAAACAAGACAAAACTGCCACGAGATAACCAGCGAACATCATGCATTAGTAGATTGAGGTATTCAGAATCTACTTCCTCAAACAGTGACTAAATTGATGGTGATTAAGGGCTAGGGCAGGAATCTAATTGACAGTATGAATGACCAGTCCCACAAGATTGAGCACAAAGAGCTTCTTGATGCACAATGCAATGAAAGTTCAAAAGCAGGTGATTTAGCAGTCCTGACAAGAATAAGGAATCCCCTGTATTTGCTGACCATGCTAGGTGCACAGTCTCTGCACAATCACAAGATTATCCAACTGTATTCTCCCCATACAAAATTCATCACAATTTTAAGGATGTGTTTATTCCTTGCTTGATTTTTCATGGATAATCTCTCAATCATTTCTTCATGCACAGCATCATCCCAGAATACATAACTGATTAACGTCATATGTCGGTTTTCTTATCCAAAGCAAACGAACAATAAGTAGGTGTGTAGCCCTTCTGCCAGGCTGAGTAAATACCAGCAAGGGCCGGGTTCAGTATCTAGGGGTCTCCTCCCAACAAGGTAATACAACACTGGTTCGAGCCCCCACCCAGTGACCTGGGAAACCTAACATACCCCTCTGGGTGCCTCAAGAGGCAATTCTTCCCCTCTTGCAAGCACAGAGCCTCAGTATAGTAGCAAACCTTTAACATGAGGTAACCGACATCAGCATTAAATTGGGGAAACACCACAACTCGGATTTACAGACTAAACATGAGGAAAGGCCCTCCCCCCAGCCACTAATCCCCCCAAAGTCCAACACCCCAAAAGTGTCTGCCCTGGGTTCGTGCCGCCCCAGGGTTCAAAAGTTCACCCGGCAGGGTTTCACCATCCCAACCTGGAGGGGCGGGGATCGATACACCTTACATGGTCCGCTGGTGGCTCCGCCTCTCCATGGGGTTCTGCCACCGCCACGAGTCACTCTGCCACACTCCACCTGCTGACCAGTGAGCCGCCTCCACTGTCCGGCTCTGCCAGCCGTCTGTTCACGCCCCTGGCTGCCAGCTGGG